TATTTTTATAATTTTTCTGTTGACTAATCACTGGTATCTTGCCTTCTTAGCTATCTTTTTTAAGGTGCARGTCAAATGGCTGGTTGTATTTGCAACTTGTGTTATTCACGAGCAACACTGGCAGTGATCGAGGTTTTGTCTACCTTTAGGATTAGGTTTTATAGCATGAGGACATTTGGCAGAGCAGGAGGATATATCCCTCAGAAATAGGACCTTTGTACCTTATTTATTTGGAACAAAACCCAGCACTTTGGGCTGTCCCCTGGGAGCAYGGTAGCTGCACTGAGTTTTGTTGGAGGGAGGTTTGTTTGACAGGTACATGGGGGTTGTGGGAGGGCTCAGCACTGTCTGGCCGTGTGTGCCCCTGTGCTGCTCAGCACAGCTCGAGTCTGCACCACCTCCAGTTGCTTATTCGTGGCCTCTAAATGAAGATACTTTCATGATGCAAAGCAGTGCACCCTTTGTCAGAAAAGATCTGCTGTCAAGCTAAGCCTTTGGGCAGACACAATAGCTATGGCACAATTTCTGTTCCCTCGGACTCTGAACAGATGTTTTCCACTAAAATGTGAGGAGACAGCACCCAGGGGCAGTGGCCTGGGGCGCTTGGCTGACCSATGGGTGAAGGGGTGAAGGTTTCTTTGTGTGCTCCTCCCTGAGCAGAACGACCACCCACCTGGGGCTCTGCAGACAGCGGAGATCCTGGRTTTATTGTGAGGAACAACTGGAAAATATGTTGACATTGGGATGCTTGGCAGATGCGAGCGTTGTGGGGAGCGCTGMTGAGAGCAGAGCTGGTGAGGAGCAGCCACGTGCGACTGCGTGGCCGGCGTACTGGGCTCTCCGAGGCTCTTGGGCACCTCATTCCTTCTCTTCTACCAGCTCCGCTCTGCAGACCCAGCACCAGGCTCAAACCAGCCAAGTTACACTGTCTTTAACCAGTATCAAGGCTCTGCTSGTCGCACGTGCCTGCTCGCCCCGGGGACCGCGTTCCTTCACGAGGACCTACACGAGCCCTGTGTATTTTTCTCCCTGCGCCCCAGGAGCCGGGAGAAGGATGCAGCTTTATGTTCTCCCCTGGCATAGCCCTGCGCGAGAGAGAGACCTTAATGTTTGGAAGGAGTGGGCAGAAACTTTCACTGCCTAATGATAAATGCAGGTATCAAATTTTAGTATTAAAGTGGCATACTTGAATCTCTGAAGAGCTCACATCATGTTGAAAGAAAATGGCTTGCTCCTTCTCACTGAGTCCTTTTCTTTTATATCAAAATGAATAACCATTCGTATGATTAACTGAGCTTGAGATTTAAATGTACAGACACTTACTTAAATAGGGGCCTGAGGTTCACCCAGATAGGCTGACACATAAAATAGCAGGAAATTATGCCAATTCTAGACTGCCCATACTCTAATTGCATCTGCTGTACGTTCAGTGTGACAAATCTCCAATCCCTGACAGAATATCACTTTCCCAGACAGCTTTTTACTGCCAGCTAATGCAATGTGTAATTCCACCTGCCTGGGGTCTATTCTTCGGGYTTTATATCCCCGGCAAGTGGTGGAGAGATGCTGCAACGCTGCAGATGTCCAAAAATGCATGCAGATCTCTGGGCGGACTGTCTAGCAACAGCTGATGGAGACTAATGGCACCCAACTATTTATACACCCGCCTATTATTTCTAATTTGCTGATTTTAGCAGCAGAGAAAAACTCATTTCACTGGCTGCCGGGGGCTTTGAAATCTCGAAACTTGCTCACCACTGCTGCAGTTCTTAACCTAATCAGCAATGCCCGAAATTCAAACAAAGGCTCGAAATGAAAAGGTTTTTAACCAGACGTACTCGTCACGTCACTTATCTTAAAGCTAATTTAGTTACATAAAGAAAGAATTTCAGATGGAATTGCCTGAAAGGAAATTTATGAAGCTGTTGAAGTAAAATGTTTTTTTTTTTTACAGTTAACTTGTACTTTTTCTTTGTTAGAAGTCCAAAAATCAACTTTTTTAGTATCCTTAGGTAAATTCTGTATGTAAGATATGAAAGTAAATGCTAAATTTAGGTTGTCCCCCTAAAAAAAAATTAATCCTGAACTATTTTTAGCCATTCAGATCATTTTCTACTCAGTGTGACTCTCTACATTTTTCTTCAACTCTYCATACTGTACTTAGATTTTCCCCAAATATATTTAATTTCATTTTTCATACCACTGACAATGTTGTAATCTTCTATTTATTCTCATTAGTGAAGTCCTAATTCTGCCCTTGGKAAAAGGCAAAATTACTATTCCATGTTGTATGGCCCTTTGTGTATGACTTTTAGTGGTTCCAAAGCAAAAATGAAGAAGAAAATCTTCTGAATGAGTCAATGAGCCAGCCTACAGTGTTTAAATTGGGAAAAGCAGTTATGAAGCAAAATTAAACAGAAGAGAATATTGTTTTATGAAACATAGATTTATTGAAGTGTTTCTAAAAGTTCAAGCATATACCAGTGTAGCACATCCTAAAAAGAGGAAGCCAAGCTGTTTCTCCCTGTATGAGAAAGCTGAAATGAAAAATTGGAACTTGGCATGAGGAAACCCTGGCAGTTCTGAACTCTGTGTATTATTTTATAATTCTGTCTTGAGCCTTGTTTGGCATGAGGTTGGGCTAATGCAAAGCTTTTGTTAGTGCTGCTGTTACGCTATTGTAAGAATACTAAATAAACAAGCAAGCTTCAAAGAAATATAGCAGATACTTGTATGCAAATTGAAACCAAACGAACCTTCGTGCCTTTGTTTTATGCATGCTGGGTGGTCCGGGTAATTGGWAGGGAACAAAGTAGAGCTTCATTTGGTGCTTTCCTGTGGTCCCTTTCAGCCTCTCACCATTTGCGTGTCTTATGTAYGTTTAGCAATTCCACTCCTAATCCGCTCAGATGAGAACAAATTGTACCTAACACTTATTCTTCCACCTCTTTTCCTTGAGCAGATGCTTTATCCAGCACTTGTACACAAGGCATGCATGTGTAGATACGTTTCAGAAAGCTTATGTAATTCGGTTGCATGGTTTGAGTATTTTTCCTTTAGGGKTATGCCTGTGGACTAATAAGCAAACAGCTTTAATTAGAAATCATGTAGTATTATTTCAGTAAATGTCACAGGGAATTAAAATGAATTAGGAATAGTCTGATAAATTAGTAATATAGAAGGAGAAATACCTTTGAAAGCCTGRGGAGGCTGCTTATACAGCAGGGAGTACCATTTGGATAAGGTTTCTGGCTAATACTCAGCTTATTCTAATTTCTTTTTCTAGTAGCCTTTGAAACTTCCTTTTACATGTCTATCATTGAGAAAGTGTTATCTAGTATTTCCAAATGTGGGAGCGGAGGTTTGCATTAGGCACTAATGCAAATGTTACACGAATTTGTGAGGAAAAACAGAGCTTACATAATCGGAGAGTGAATAASGTTGGATTTCTGTGATGAGAAGCTTGCTCACCGGCTCCGAGTGTGGATAGCGTGGGAGGTGAGCCAGCCGATTGGGACAGTGTCCAGCATCATGAGGCAGGTGGGGAACTTCACTCTTAGTCGATCCTAAAACCCCTTAGTCAAACCTAAAACCCCTTTTAAAGGACTTGCCCCAGCCAGCAGGTAACAGAGCACCTCAGAAATAAACAGCCTCTTTCTGTTCTTTTTCTTTTATAGCTTCAGAGACAGGCGAGCAGGTACGTAAGAGGCTGCCTGTGTGTGAAGGTGCTTTGATGCTATTGAAATCCTCAATTTAAGTGGCTTTAAGTCCCCAAGTGCAACTTGTACATTTTAGGAATAATTCTGCTTTGTTTTTCCTTCCCCTGGGGCATTAAGCTAATGCTTTTGAATGTTTAGGGTCAAAAGCAGAGCAAAACACGCTTAGAAGTCATTATATTAGATATTTGATATCAGTAGCTATAAGATTCTCATTGATTAGAGTTGCCAGTGGATGCATGCTGTATCTTGCATCCACTCATACCTTTCTTCTACCTTTCTTCTATACGCTGCATACATTAGTAGGTTTTTTTTTCCCCTCACAAATGATAAACAAAYGTGAATTGCCTTTCTGATGGTCAGAGAACTTGGATTCATGCCCCATCAGATGACAAAACGTTGTCAAGTGTCCTGAGAAATAGTAGACTTCATKAGCAGTGGTTCAGAGAAACTGGGAGTTTTCTGTCTGGGACCACATGCTCGCAGTTTCTCTAATGTTAGAAATTACAGCTMATAAAATTACAGGAAAACTATTTAAATATTTTTTTTCCAAATAAAATGAAAACTAATATACATTGTCCATGTATTGCATTCAGCCCAGTTTGCTTGTTCCCTTTATGCAGGTGGTTGATCTTGACTGGATGTGACTGATCTTCCACCCTTCTTTTGTGTTGGACACAGCACACACTGCCAACATACTGCTCAGTATCGCTGTCGATATCAACACATTGGAACTTGAATCTGGGGTCTGTTGCTTTTTGTCAGCTAAATAGAGGGTGGGGGGAAAATGTGCAGTGGAGGGTGACTTGAGATGGACTGTGTGATACCTGCCTGTTGAGCGTCATCCAAAAATACATGACTAGATAAGAGATCTAGGTTAAACACCTTGCTAGCAGTGACCTTCAGAGGTGCTTGCTGCCAGCAGGAGAGTCAAGGGCATCTTCCCTTGTGCACAGCCTTGGTGGAGCAGGTGCTAATGAGCTCCAATCCTCCTGATCAGAGGCTTGGGGCCTTTGCTCCAGCTGACCCCTGATTAGGGTGGGAGACACCACCCAATCAGAGTGGCGAAGAGGCTGTATAAGAGCCAGAACCAGAACCAGCTCCCTCTTTGTGCAGAAGGGTGCAAGAAGGCTGTTCTGGTCCGTGCCAGTATAYGATTCCTCAAGGTGGTTGTGATCTGCTGCAGACTTGGTTCTCCAGCAGCTGCTGAAGTCCCTGAAGGTGAAGTGTAAGGAGCCTCCACCCAACAGACCTTCTGTCAGCAGATACAGCTCTGCAGAGCCTCCTTTGTATGAGAAAGACYGAGAGTGCTGGACCTGTTCAAGGTAGGAAGGCTGAGGGGGGGATCTTACCCATGTATCTAAATCCTTGAAGGGAGGGTGGAAAGGGGTTGGGGCAAGACCCTTCTCAGGGGTGCTAGCAATAGGACAAGAGACAACACGGGTGTCCTCTGAACATTAGGAAAAAAATATCTTTACTGGAAGGGTAGACTGTGTGCTGGAACAGGTGGCCTGTGGAGCCTCCTTCCATGGAGCAATTAAAAAAACATGTGGACAAGTCCCAAGCCATGTGCTGTAGGTGACCCAGCTTGAGCAGGGCGTTGGACTAGAGGTCTCTTCCAACCCCAACCATTCTGTGCTCAAGATTCACCCTACAAAATAAGTATTCAGGCTACACTGGCAAGCATTTCATCAAAACAAACAAACAACAACAAAAAAAAACACTGTTGAGGAAGGGAGATATATTGGAGAGCTGACAGATTCCTGAGCAAACTGAGTAACAGAGGGCAGAATTGGGCCCCATTTGGAAAAGTGCAATTAAGCTCCACTTTTATTTTCATAATATTTCTGATACATTTAATATTATTGATGACTGACATATCAACATTATTTACAAACTTTTCAAAGCATCTTTGCAAAAAATGTATGGGATATTAAGTGGTGTTAAGTTGCAGCAGAATGCAAATTAGTATTCTCCTCTCTAGTGGTTTTACAAGGCTTTCATCATTTGTGAATTATGAAAATTAGATTTTATTCAGGGTCATGAAAACTACAGGTTAATCTATTAAAAGTATGCACAGTTTTCAAAGGCAATGTGTGATTGAAATTTTYTTAATTAATGATTGGGAGTTACACATTATTTCAACTGAGTAGTTATTTTGAATGCAAGGTCCATATTCCTGAGTTATTTGATGGTAACTTACATAGTGTTTCTTTTTATGTTATTTCTTCTTGAACAAAGAAATGATCTCAGATGAAAAGTTTGTGTGTAGGTCAAACAATTTAGTGAATTCTGGACTTGTATTTTGAATGGAAATTAGGAGGAATCCTTTAGTACTAAGAGCAGAGGTTCTTAGGGTTATAGGCATTGTAGTTAGTACCTAAGGGATGTGCAATGATCCTCACGTTGTTGGATGAGCTTCAGGTGTTTTGTCTCAGGAAACTTAAAGATCTCCATTATCACGAGCACCTGGAACAATTTGAAACACCTGAACATATTCTCAAGTTGGTTGCTCGTATACAAGATATTTGTATTTTGTATTTGTGGGTTTTGTATTTATCTGTTCTTGAATACTCTAATATGGTTTGCTGCTACAGGAAACTGCAGGAGAAAATTTGAGTTTGGGGTGAATTGTTTTATTCTTGTCAGCTTCTGCCAGATATTTGTGTCTGTTTGGATTTGTCTGTGCTGACATGAATATTTGGATTAGATAAATATTTCACATATTTATATAATAACCCGTGCTGTTTTAATATGAGTTGCAATACAGACTTTTTAAAGTCACTTTTTCATTAAACTTCTCTGATGCAAATGTCTTTGCTAAACAATTACCATGGAAGGGTAATGTTTTATGTCTTCAGTTAGAGGATTTTGTATGCTGTTGATGGAATTTTGTGGCACTGCAGGTGTGAACATCTTTAATTGTGCTCCAATTAATGATAAAACAGTGCAGTGAGCAAGACCAAAGCCACTTAATGAACAATAAGACAAACTGAGTAAATCAACCTTTATTTATTTAACTCATTCTTACAAAATTGGTTAGAGCAGTAGTCCTAACTATGATTTTTATCTAGAAGCTAAAATGGTGCAGGTTACAGCTCTGTTTCTGTAGCAAAAGAAGGAAATGTTGCAGCACTCCAGACAATCCTGCAGCCCCTCCTGAGGAGCTGCTGCTTCCTCCATGTGCTCTGGGAACTGGGATTACTGACCATTGCATATATCTAGAAAAGAACTTTCTCAAGCATGACTAGATCTCCATCTGGTCTCTATCATGGGACTCAGTGCACAGCTAGCATTTTATTCATAGTTTGCTTTGCGTATGGGTAGCTGTGGGGTAACCGTTGCATGTTGTGTATAGGTGGATGACTTCAGACAAGGAATATTTTTATTCTTTTCTATTATAAAAGCACTTTAAATGTTGACAAAAGGCGGTGAGTAACAGCTGCTGATATTATTTCATCTTTCTGTGCTCTAGTTCTCTCATCCTGCATATTCCACATCATGATGTAGGGATTCAATATAATTCACATGCTTAATGTAATATTTAGGCTCCTGGGATTTATGACTCTTCCTTCACCACAGACACTTGCTTGCAATGTGATAGAAGTATGAGAGACAGGAGATTCAAAAGTTGTGGTGGATTCTCTATCTCTTTTTTTTTTCTGCATTGTAAAAGTTGGTTCTTCAAAAGGCCTAGACTAAATAGCTCCCACTTCATTAGGTTTCACGCAGGAATAAAGCTTTTTTCATGCAAGTCACTGAAGTCAATGCACTGTAAAATTTGCAGTGATGAAAATCCGCAAACCTTTTCTGACCAAGTTTGGGAAAATCACTTAATGTCTGATATTTYGCTTTGTTTTAGGGAAGAATTGATAAGTGCATCAGTATAGGGGCAAATTAGGACTTTTTAAATTTGAATTTATACTATGTAAATAGTTCTGGAGAAACTAGAGAGATTACGTTTAAAATAAGGTAATTCTCTGTATTAGAAAGGTATAGACCTCAGCTTGGGCTGGAAATGGCACTACCTGGAGGTCGCATTGCGTGGCATGTAATGAAGCGTGCGAGGTCGGGAGGTTTGGGTTGAGTCCSTGACCCACGTGCTCTTGGACTAAGCAATGTTCCTGCTGTCCTTTGGGGCTCGCTGGGAGCTCCCACACCGCTGCAGCCTGTTCCTGGCCTTTCTGGGTACCCCTGAGGTACCAAACCTTGAGCAGCCGCTTGCTGCTCAAGGCACAGGTTTTCTTTTTGCCTTTTATAAGGAGGAAAATCAGCAGAGTAACTATAGAAACAGGCAGGCTTGGCCAGAATAAAAGTGAAGAAGAAAGTACAAGTGAAAATAGTCACATGAACCAATGAACCTGTGTGAAGAAGGGACAAACCAGTTACTCTAATTRTATATAAAAGAAACTAACCTGCAAAGTTTATTTTTCTGAGTGCTCAGCTGGTAAATATCCTTCCTGGATGGCTACTTCTTCTGTAATCAGTAACATTAACGATCATTTGACAGCTTTTTCCATTGTAATTGTCCCTTTTTGGATTGATGAAGATGATTGTGCAGTCTCTAAAGATAGAATAAGGTAGCTGATAATATCCCTGAATTAGTCCATACACTTGTTTGCTTCAATGGTCTGCTAAAGCATAAAACAAGGAGTGTTTCGGGGMTGAACGAAAGGTTTTCATTACAACTGCTTTCAGAGCAAGCAGGAACATCAGTAAGCCTGGCTCTGCGGGCAGGGATCGCGCCGCAGCTGCGCAGGTTTTCCAGCTCCGCAGCCTGTCGTGTGGCTGCAGCAAGATGAGAGGAGCCTCCAGTCACTGGGGCGAACGTACTTCAAGGGAAACTGCCTTTTCTCAGTGTCGTGCTGCTCTGGGAGGACGTTTTTCCTATGATATCTACRTAGGTACAAAAGGGAGAATCCTCTGATAAAGACTTTTTTTTTCTTCCCCCTYTTCATTAAATTTGTCCTCAATCCCACTTTAGAGTGCTGAGCCTGTCGGCATTTAGCACAATTTCAGAGCTTCTTTCTGCCCTCCAAAATTCAAAATCTAAAATGAGAAAAAGCTGAACAAGATACTGCATTGTGGCTTTCTTAATTACTCTCTTTTTTTTTCCCTTTAATATAGAAATAGGAAAATATTTGATCAGAGTGGCCTGAGTTTGTGTGTTTTGGGTGCAAGTGGTTCATTGTTATCAATAAAAATCAGGACTGAGGGTCAACCCAGATCATCTTTTACATCAGGTTCTTATCAGAAGACAGAGAGAGCTGTGTCCRTTTGAGTTCCCTATAGAGACTGGTATTACCCTATAGCTGAATTTTTTTGATTGTTTTCTTGAAGTGAAAAATGATATTTTTCTTTACATGATAAAAGCTCTAGTGAACAAAGTGATGATGAGTTGGACTGTTGTAAATAAGCACGATTATTTTCTGATGAGATTAATGTATTTTTTGCGTCTTATGAATATTTTTTATGGATTATCCAAACAGTGRAGCCATGATTAAATGAGTTTAAATAGGCAGACGACCGTTTCAGGAGATGATACTCAAAAGACAAGCTGAATGTGGAAGGGGCTGACAAGAAGTTATACTCCTGGTGACAAGAAGGTCTCTTGTGGTRTTAAAAAATCAACAGTTGTCAGCAGGGAAGAGCTGGTACATGGTTGGAAAGGTCAATTGTTCAAATTGGTTTTAATTGGAGGCTGATGGGGAGGCAAGGGGTGCCCAGTTCTAGGTCGGGGTCTTTTTCTGTGGATGTGATGTGGGGATGGAGAGTTGCAGACTGAGGCATATGGTTGGATAAAGGATCAAAAGAGCAATCTTTTGATTTTGAGGGAAGTAAATTATGGTTGTATGTTTTTGTTTTAATCACCTTTCTCACATCTTGTTGGAGTATTTGCAAATAAATTAGTTTATTTTAGCCTGAAGAAGTTGCCTTCAAGGTGCTTGGGGCACTCTTGCTGGATCCTGTGTTTCCATGTGTTGCCTTGGGTATCGGAGCATCAGCAGCTGTGGCTCTGGGCTGCACTGGCCCTGCTGGGCTCTCTGGTCTTGCAGGCGTTTGGGCTGACGTGGGTTGTCCTGTGTCACCATTAGCAAAGCCAAGGTCTGTAGCTGAAGGCTGCCGATCCGTGATGATCACAAAGGGCTTTTGGAATAGTGTGGATTGCTTTAATTTAAAGMACATATAGGGCTGGGAAGAAGTGCTGACCTTCAGGTTGTCTGGAAAAACAACAAACGAGCAAAGCCCTGTTCTTTTCCTGAAACAGTGGTTCAAGCTGGAGTAAACTCTCTGAACTGAGAGAAAAGCCAGAGCAAGGGGTGTG